ATTTTCTTTTTGTCTCTACATGATGACATATGTTTCAATAGAGAGGTTTTTAATCAAGACATTTTTAAAGTAAAACTATCTTTTACTTCACGTGTTTGTAAGTGGGGTTGCAGCAACACATGCAGGTTGAGACATGAAATGAAATAAGAGGAGACTATTCACAAAATGGGTGAATAGTCTAAGACAGCACACTGGCCTACCCTTTCTGTGGCGAGCTGAAATTGATTCCTGTGAGACGCCGCTGCTGCTGAAGGGAGGAGAGGGGAAGCAAATGCACACAGAAATCATTTCCAGAGGAACAAGAGCACTTCAGTAGAATTTGGTAACCAAGAGTTCTTGAAGTATTTCGAATAATGCCAAGAAAACTAATATTTTATGTCGTTTCTAGTGGTTCACAGACATAAAGTGTGAGGAAACTGGCACATTGGTAGGGTGGGAAAAAAGATCTAGTTTGATTGCTTTGATCAACATTGAAATCCCAATCATTTTGAATAATGACTCCGAAAGTTAGGCGACAGAAAAACTGTGAAATACTTTCTACATGAAAAAATTAAATGTCATTCAATTGTAGGATATTAACAATAAATAAAACAAGCAATCTTTATAATCTTTAAAATAAATTCAATTTGAGAGAAATAATAAAATATGTCAAAATATCAGGAAGCCAGGTGAATTACAGGGCATGTCACACCGTGCCTTTCAAAATAAAACATAATTTTTTAAAATTATTTAAGTTAAACATTTAAAAAGTGATGAATGTTTTATTAAATATTATGTATACCTTATTCAATAAAACTAATTAGCTCAAATTTCCACTGGGCGACTCTGTGGTTCAACACATGCTTTTAGATATAATTTTTATTTCTTCTATAAAATTCAGCCACTAGTTTGTTCATGGAGTTCAGCCTTCGACAGGAGGGAACGCACACATCCATCAGCAGATAGATGTCCGCAGACTCATATATAAGAGTCCCCTCTGCAAAGGAGAAACTGCAGAAAATTGCTGAAAATAGTTATTTGTTTATCAGGATTGCACTTTTTTTAAAATCGTTTAGATTGTATGGAGCGACTCCTGTGATTAATTAAGTGGTCATATATGTGAATGATTGTATGAGAATCTTTTTTTTCATTCTCTCAAATAAAAAAAACTAAACACATAGTCAGGACCTACTCAGTAGATGTCATCTACTTGGTAAATAATCCTGGCCTGCTGATTGGATAAAGCCGTTTTGCATGCAGTAACATTCACATTTCTATGTCAAATCCCACCAACCTACAAGGCAAAAGTAGCAAATCGGCGGCCGGTCACATTTCCCCCACCCGGCGTCTGTCGCTTAGTCAGTCCGAGAATGAGTCTGATTTGTCAAACGGAAGAAAGCTCGCGCAGACTCCACACTGAGCCCACTCCGCTATCAGACTCAGCGACAGCGGAGATGATGAACGACAGGAAGGCACAAGCTGACAGATGTGATGAAGACAATGCTGAATGGCTAATCAATCTCATGTGGGCAGAAGGAAACAGAGAGAAGAAATAAAAAATAAATAAATAAATTTTAAAAAAAGGGAAAAAGAAGACAGCAGCAGGGATCTCCTAGTGTGAGTCAGCACAGGAAAGAGAGGCTGATTGGCAACGTTTGGAGGCATGTGTCTCCGACTGTAATTTAGGCTTGTGATTTTGGGTTCTCATTGTCTTTGGGAGCCAAAATGAATGGCATGATTTATTTTATGCCTGTTTCCTTTTATCGGACCGATAAAAATAAATACCCCACCCCAGAAACAAACACTGGCGTCAACTCAAAATGAAGAAACAATCATTTAAAGCAGCGACAACGATGTAATCACAGCAGACTCTCCGTTTATTCACACATTCCGATCAGAAAGCCATTATTGTGCCCTAGATCATCCGGGAGCGAGTCTGCGTGTCTACATGACCTGCTTCTGTGTGTGTGTGTGTGTGTGTGTGTGTGTGTGTGTGTGTGTGTGTGTGTGTGTGTGTGTGTGTGTGTGCGCGCGCGCTTACATGTTTAAATCTACATGACCTACTTAGGCTAGAAACGGACCTCAAGAGCAACTGCGACCACACGTCGATACATGAGGAATCCATTACGTTTGCTCCTCTTCAGACTATCACTTGCTATCTTTATCTTCTGGATATCCTCTCGGTTCGGCTCTGGTGTCATTAGGGAGGAAGGCTGCGCTCGTACACAGAGCCCGGAGCCATGTTGTTCGTCACTATTAAAACCTGGCACTTGCATTACCGCGACTGCAACCGGACGGCCTTCTCTTTAGTCGCTGATTCAGATGGATGGTGTTAAAAGAAGCCTTTGGGCCGAAAGCTAAATAAAGGCTGCCGCACTGCAAAAACACAAAATATTACCGAGTGATTTTGGTCTGGTTCCCAGTGCAAATGTCTCCGTGCATTTGTAATAGGACAAAGTTAACTTACCATAACCAGCAAGATGTTGGAGCTTGTTTTAAGTCGGTGATTGCTCAATTTTGATCAATAAGTACTAGTTCAACTGGCACCCATAACACGGGAAAAATGATCGCTGAAAGAGAAATTACCCGCTTAATTAAACCTTTTTATCAATAGTAAGGGATTATTGATAAAATGACCTCTTATATCTTGCTAAAAAGTTGCCTTTGAGTTGGTTTTGTCTTATTTAAAGTTCACTAAGATATTTGGACAAGAAATTAGACCAGAAATGACGATTTTGTGTTTTTATAGTGCAAAGTCTTGGAGGACTGCCGACTCAACTTCAGAGAAGAAAATCACAGATTTTGAGTTGCTAATTTAGAAATATTTGTAAGGACTTTTTTTGCGCTAGTGTATGATGTAAAATGCAACTTTTTATTGAGCCTTTTTATTTCCCTACACCATGCAGCACTAACGTCCAGGGTTTCCCCCGGTGTTTTATAAGCCTGGAGGGCCACCAGGCTTTACTTGTGCCCCCGCCCGGCGAAGCATTGCTTATTTATTTAAGTCTTTTTAAAAAATGTTTTTGCATTTTTTATGACAAAAAATTTAACTTGGTCGTCCAATCTTTCAATAACACATAATCATCAAGTGACATTTTCAAATTTCCTGTCAACTTTAAACAGTTTTTAGCTCAAAAATATGACAGGCCACTGGATGAATGACTGCCCTGGTTTCCTGGGGGGGAGACCTTGACAACATCAATACTCCTGCAATGCACTGTGCATGATTTTTTTTTTGTTTTGTTTTTAAAATGAAATCCAGACTTGTGATTTTACGACCCAACATTGGCTGCGACAAGAGGACAATTTAGCCGATCGGGTCCAGCAGTCGCTGGAAATGTTGCATCTAAGCCCATAATGGGATCTCACACCAACATCGCTCCTAATCTGTTTTGATGTCACTGTACGCTGATTAGTGTTCATCCCACCGCAGAGTAAGCTGCTTTTTAAAGTAGTTTAAATTGCAGCAGTGTTGTGGCTCCTGAGGGTGACAATGTTGGCCCATCTGTCCAGATTAAAGATAAATAAATAAATAAAAAATACACAGACAAACTGCTGAGTGGATTAAGATGAACTTTGGTACCCAAATCCCGGGTTAGTGTTCGAAACATAATGATTCGCCGCTAATATTTACACTAGATTTGGCGAGAGGCATGTCAGAATTCCCCATCTGTCCGACATTTCTCAATTTGTGCTCCAGCAAAAAATATCCCCGTCCCGCTTCAACTCTAATCACCTGCGAGAGAAATGAGCCCCGCTCATAAAGACGTGATCAAACAACAACAAAAATCACAGCGGTGCCACGTTCCCCGAAGAAAGAAGTCCTCATGAGTGACGCCGCTCATACACGAAGGAGGTGGGAGGTTATCCAAGCCGTGGATCGCATCTCTGCCTCAGCGTCTTTCCGCTTTTACATTTTAGGGCCGTCCGCCTGCTTCCCTGGCAGGCAGGTGGGCTCACACACATCCAACACCTGAATTAGTCCATTCTGCTTCGGCGGCACATACGATTAGCCTAAATTAGAAAGTGAACAAGTGTTTTCTTCCTTCCCCCTGCACTGCTTTATGTGGGAAATATTGCCAGCATTTGAACAAATCGCTTCATGCTGGTGTATTTTAACTGCTTCTGGATGTATGTTAGATATTTCCAGACATCTGGAATTACATATGAATGCACTCTATCAAATCTCACAACTACAACAGTCTCATTGCCACCAATTTCCAAAAGATTCACCAAATAAGGTATTTCATGTAGTTTTGTCTTTTTGCTTTAAATACTGATTTATTTTTGTTGATGTTGTTGTTGTGGTTCATTTATTGTAGTTAATTGAAAACTTGGAGTGAAAACAGCATTACCTGTTTTGGTGACACTTTCCAGAAAGTGTCTGCGTTTAGGACGGGAACAAAAAAAGCAAACTAGGAAAACTGTACCACTGCGTCTTTAAGAGCCCCAATTTAAATTCAGTACAGGTCAAAGCGAAGCAAACCTTCCACACTGTGGGTGAAAAACCAAAGGGTTGAGAACGTTCAGCTGCATCCGAGCACCGTGATTAATATTCTAATCCTCGTGATTTTAAAAAGAACATCAAACAGCTTCAGACCTCTAATTCCTAACCGTAGCCAGGTTGGAAAATAAAAACGAAGGTGACTTAGTCTTGTCTCTGTGTTGCCTCATCACATCCAACAAAGCTGCTCAGATTTGATAAAATGCGGGGAAACGATGCTTTCCATCACATTAGGCGAGAAATCGCCGCACTCGGCTGTGGCTCGAGGCCCGCTGCATCGAGATGTAGTGACATATTTGTGACACGCTGGCTTAGTGGGACGCTCCATCATAGGTGTTTACTGTTTACTGTCACCTTGTTTCTCTCTGAAAGGGCTGCGGGACTTATCCACCGTGCTCTCTGGTGTTCATCTTTCATTAATTTTGACAACCTCCTGCGTATTTTGCGCAAACACACACGTAGTCGGAGGTGCTTGAACACACAGACACACACACAAAAAAACGAAAAGACTTCTAACCTGTTCCTTGACGGAGGCGAGGATGGCGGAGGTGGTTTCAGACTCGGAGCCGTCTCCGTTGGAGGCATTGAGGACGGGGCTCAACATGGCGGCGGCGCTGGCACTCTCAGACGCCACCTCAGGCACTGGCATTCCTCCTGGAAAGAAAGAACGCGCCCAGGTGTTATGAAAGGCACTCTCCGGTGTGACGGCGCTCAGACAAGGTCACTGTCACGCGAACACTTTGACTCGTTTCAGCGTTTTTAGAAATTGGGTTTAGTTTGTGAGACCAGTTTTAGCCTTCATGACACACTGTCTTGTAAGTGAATGATAGAGGGTGGCAGCAGTGATACAGCACGTTATTTAGAGGAACAATGTGGCTTTTGTGCCAAGTAGAGACAGAGCTTAGCCTTAGTGTTTGTGATGGTAGGACTTTCTCAATGTGACATGTAAGCAAAAGTTGAAGCAAATTGTATTGGAATTACTTTAATTGTTGCATCATTGTGTCGCTGAAGGAAAAGACAAATCAGAAGTGTTTCTACGTCAAAACGTCATTGAGGATCTCAGGATGATCTTTGCCCATTCTTTGTTACAAAACAGCTAGAGCTCGATCAGACTGGAAGGGGAACATCAGCGGTTTTCAAGGTTTCCTGTGGATTCTCCAGTAGATTTTGCTCCAGACTTTGACTCTCCCGTTCTTTAAATAAATGTACCATAGGTGAAGTATATTACAGCCTCTGCTGGCTTTCTATTAACGTTTTCCTATCAACTCTGATCATTTCCGTAAACTCCAAATGTTAATAAAAAGCACGATGCTGCCACCACCATGTTTTTGATACCGGGACAGTGTGTTGAAGGCGTTGGTTTTCTGTCTTACATTTGCTTGTGGTCCAGAACTTTGTGTTTTTGGTCCTTCAAATCTTTGACATTTTTCCTATGTAACCGACTATTGGTGTTACTCTTCATGCCAGCCAGAATGGCAGATTATAGAACAAATAGTCCAGCTTTTGACAGATTCTTTCGATAAAGTTACCGTTCTGGGCAGCTTCCATTAATCCTTTTCTCGTTCGGTCCGTCAGTTTAGAGCGACCGCGAATTTCTTGGTAATTTCCATTCCCAGCTTTCTGATTTTCATTTCTGTTTTTATGTTAAAAGCCATTTGTCAATATCACATAAACAATGAGGCTTAGGCAGCTCAGCTTCAGGAAAAAAACAAGATGCAATGTGGTTACTTCCAGGAGCAGCAGAGGGACTTACATTCACATACACACGTGCACACACACACACACACACACACACACACACGCAATAAACAACAAAAACACAGAAACACACATAAAAACTCTAATCTCTCAGTCATGTGTCGTATTTGACCTAACGTAGGAGGACACAAGCTCTACATGTGCCATGTATTCCTGTATCAACCAGCTTTACACACTGATTTTTATATATATATATATAGATATATATATATCTATATCTATAGATATATATATATATCTATAGATATAGATATATATCTATCTATATCTATAGATATAGATATCTATATCTATATCTATAGATATATATATAAAGGGTTGCCGTGAGGAATCTGCACATACACGCATGAGCAACGTCGGCCGTCTGCCGAGGTAAAGAAAGTGGGGCGTGTGAGCAGAGCAGCAGGATGAGAGTGGAAAGAGGAAGGGAGTGACTGAGAAACGGAGAGGGGAGACCAAGGAGAAGGAAGTGAGGTGACGGAGGAGAAGTGAAGGCATCTGGTAAGTAAGTAAAGTTCATTTATTTTCACAGGCATGAAATCACAAAGCGCTGTACAATAGACCATACAAAACTACGACTCTTGCCCTGTGCAAGCCGACAATCTCCACCTGACCTGGCTTTTCACTCATATTCCTTCCATTTTGGAGAGTGGTCTTCCTCCTCCTCCTCCTCCTCCTCTTCTTCTCCCATCCATCCTTTCGCCCATCTCTGTTTCTGAACTTAAATTTTTCATCACTATCCACCCCGTTACTTACACGTTGTCCTATTCCCTTCCCTTTTAACGGTGTTTTTCTGCTCCTAAACTTGCTGCCCTCGCTCTTCCTCTTTGCCGACCGACTTCTCTTTGCTTGACCCGTTTCACTGTCCTTATTTCTGCTACGCTGCGCCTAAGCTCTTCCATCACCCCACGTCCGTTCTGTGCGTGCAGCCATAAACATTACCCAGAGAGTTTAAGGTTGGGCGCAAAATACGTTTTCTGAATGGACAATGGCAGCCAGATAACTTTTTTTTTTTCTTTTAAAACTCTCTTAAAGATACAGAATGAAATATTTGGAGAGGAAGCCCTACAACCTCAGTCAACGCAAGAGCATGAAGCCAAAAGGACGTGAGTGTTCAGCGTTAGTAAGTTCTCTCAGGAGGAAACTGTTGTGATGTATTTCTTTCTTAACAGCTAAAAACCCTCTGTCTTTCTATTTGCTCTTTTTGTGGATACCAAGTCAGCAATCTTATCTCTCTGTCTTTATTACCATCGCAAACATTTGCTTTGTCAAGTCTGCATGGATTTAAGGATCCACACGAACTGGGACACAATACTTTGTACAGTCAGTGCTGTAAGCTGATAAGTACCATACATGTCATACCAGCTAAACAGCGTCCCCAGTGGTCAAATAGTCACTACAGATTGCCAAAGATCTGACTTTATTTCTTTTAAATTTCTCCTGCAAAATAAATCAGTTGATTTTCTTGGCTTAGCCTGAAAAATTTGCAAGAAATATATGTAATACTTCAACAGGACTAGAAGCCATAGAGTTTAAAATAAAGCTTTTTTTAATTTTTTTTTTTTTTTTTTTTTACATTTGCATGAGATGCTATCAGCTAAGAAGCTTCATCAAAAATAAATACATAATCCTCAAAGCAAAATCCCTGAGGGTAAATGATGGAAAATACCACAACTGTGAAAAACCGACAATATGTAGAACAAGCACGCTCAGATTTACACTCGTTATTTAACAATATCGTTTTCTCTTCTCAAAGCCCCTTTTTTCATAAGCGGCATTAACTTTTCTTTTTTTTAAACAGGGTCAATGTGCAGTCTTTAAAAGGCTTTCAAAGCTTGGAAATTGATTTTTATGTTATTTCAAGTCTGGGGAAATATGGAAAAAAGAAAAAAAAGAAAATAAGAGTTTTTCATTGCCTGTCCGGCTGTCTGGGACATAAAACTGTAAAGATGCGCTGAATATTTTTGCATAGAATTACATCAGATACGGCTATACTGTCAGATTTTCCAGTTATTCGCCAAAAGAGTTTAATATTTTACGCATAGGGATTCTTGGAACCACAAGTGTCACTTGTATGTCAGATCCCTGAAGGAGGGTCATCCATTGACTTTGACAGGTTTCTGTCATTTTCCTCCCTTGTCAGGTTGTACTATTGTGTCTTTTGTAACGTAACAGTCCTGTCCGAAAAAGGGCCGTCTACCACGGGACATTAGAACGACTTTTCACCAAAGAATGGAGCACAGGAAGCGGAAAATGACTGCAACCATTTGGAAATACCAATAATTTGGTAACAAACGTGACGGCTGATGTTTACAACCAGTAATACTTGCTGTGCTAATTTCTACAAACGTCTTTAAAACTTCTGGGCATTGACCTCGACGCCCCCACCGGCCATGTTTGATCAACAGCACGAGTCGCTGCACGTGGAACGCCGATAAAAAAAAAAAAAACTTGCCATGTGTGAATTTTCTTCCTACAGCACTTCAGCCTTTAGAACCGCACACATGAAATATTTCATTTGACAGAACGCTCAGGCTCAAGCTCGAGCAGAGAGCCGGATAAGAACAGAGATAGATGCCGGGGGCACCGGCCCGCCTATAGAAGGAATCGCGAAAGAAGCTTGGGGTTTTGACGGTTCAGACAGGGAAGCCGGCCAAATATAGGTCAGCTCAGCAGACCGTGTCCAGGCTCTCATCTCACAACTGACCGGTACAAAGCAGCTTTCCCCAATAACCGCCATCAGAACTAGGCTACAGAGACCCGCTGGCCGGCCGCCGACAAGACTTTGAATATGGATTAGGCCTAAAGGCTTTATTTTACTCGTGCATAATCTTGTATTTTATTTTATTTTTTTGGAGTGTATATATTCCGGTGGTGTTTAGGCCATCATTTCAAAGCGATAATCTCCAATATTGCTTTTTTTGTACCGTCTGTACAGCCGGCCATGATACGACTGACATGTCTGACATCGGGAATATTGAGGTTAAACTTTTGACCTTATAAGCCCGTCTGTCAGGTTCGAGACAGGCACTGTGTGGTGAAGACAAAGTTCCTCTCAGAGCAAACCAGATGTGTGTTGTAAGTATCATTTTATGCCGCCTCACTGTGACTTATAATCACACGCGTAGCTTTGCTTGCCTCTTTCTCTGCGGATGCTTTGCGTTATTTATTTATTTTTTTTCTGCGTAAAGACCACTAAGCTCCGCTTTTGTGTGAGTGTAAATGTGTCACTGCTTGACAGACAGTCCCATGTTGCCTCATTAAAACTCTCTGCAGTGTTTTGTCTCTCCCAGTCATCTGTCCTTTTGTCTAGGCTGAGCCCACGAGTCTGCTTTCAAAATGCTCTTTATCAATGTAATTAGAGCTTTCTCTGTCGTGTTTCTATTAAACCTCACTGTGTACAGAGGAGGGAGGAAGTGTGTGTGTGTGTGTGTGTGTGTGTGCGCGTGCGTGCGTGTGTGTGGGTGTGTGTGTGCGCGCGCGTGTGTGTGTGGTTTTCGTCACCTCAGACAGCTACAATCTGTATGTGTTTTTTTTATTATTATTATTTACTTCCTTAAACTACCTACCTAACTAATTAAGCTCAAATAAATAAAGAATGACTGGATGATTCCTAACTTCATTGTCCTGTTTTTTCTGTTGTTTTTTGGTCAAAACTTCATACTATCCCACACAACTTTATGTGTGGGATACACACACATAAAGTGTTTGTTTTTTTAAAACACATCTAAACATAAACATGAAAACTCAGTTGCTGTTGCAGAGGTCAGACCTTAAAAACTGAGCTGCAAACAGACAGATGGATCAAATTTAGCTCAGAAATCAGACAGCAGTAGACGCTGCATAAGCACAAAAACATGATAAAACATTGACATTTTAAAATTTCTCCATAATAA